CGGCGCACGAGGCGCAATTCCGTACGGTACTGAGGGCGTCGTTGGCCATATGAGGCCAATAATATTCCCGCTGGAGGGTATAATACATCCTCGTACCGCCCGGGTGTCCTGCCAGGCGGGGATGATGGGCGAAGTACAATATCTTCGCCCTGAGCCGTTTCGGTACAACTCGCTGCAGGGTCCCATCGAGGGGGGACTTGCGGACGACGAACCCGTATCGGTCAACGTCGTAGCGCGAGTCCGGATTCCCCACGGTCTCGGCGGCCGCCCTACAGAAGGGGTCCTCGGCCTGTTCCCGAAGGAACTCTTCCACCGTTACGGATGAGACGTCGCGTTCTTCGGGTATAGCCGCGAAGTCGTGCTCAGCTCTCCCCAGGTCGACGGGGGTCTCCCAGTGTACGGTACCTTGGCGGGGGTTATGCTCCTCCTCTCGCCATTGTACCGCGAAACACGGGACCTCGTCGTCGACCGGTTTGGAATTTGCGCCCTCAACTCGGAGGCGTGATACGCCATCTGCGAGGTGGGCTCGTGGAAGGGGGTGTGGTGTGGCGGGGACAGGGGGGGCGGGGGGTGCTGGGGAAGGGCCGCGGGCGAGGGGCACTGGGCGCTCGCACACGTGGGCGCACACCCGCTGCGGCGGCTTCTGGGTGCTGTCCGTTTCGTTGACTGTAAATTTATGTGTGTGGAGGGGATAGGCCGCCTCTTGCAGAAAGAGTTATCATTGCTCGCTTCTTTGCTTGCTGGTTGCCAAGTTGAGTAAATTCGCCTCAAAGGATACCAACGGTACCTAGTGTACCTACCACACACAGACAAAACGTGATGACCCGCTCCTACTGTACCCTTCAAGGTACCAAGGGTACGGTCATCTTTACATCCTCTCTCACGCTCTTTCACGACTTGGTCTCGAGGCAACTAGTGTCTAGGTGACAAATGACCTCATATGAGGTCACTTTTCAACTTATTTTTCTCGACTTGTGCTACCGCGGGTAGCTCAACAAGATGGAAAAAAGATACTCTCGACACGGCAGTTGACTTCTGCGTTGTGGAAGGGTGGAGTTTGGTGAGATCTGCACGTCTTCTCCAGCCATTTTTAAAATGCCCAAAAAGGAGCCTTTTTTGACCAACCTCAAAACGTTTATGCTGATATCTTCGAAACCAAAACGCCTGTTTAAAAAGTCAACTCATCATTGATACTTGATTAGATTCTTAGTCTCTCTGTGCATTGACAACCGCCATGCCAATGTTTTGCAAGATGTTATTGCCGAACGCGTATACATTAAAGAAATGGTGTCCAAACTGAATGTTTTAAAGTTTCGATTTAATTTATATATTTTTGCAAAAAAAAGCTGGCTTCATATGAGGCCATGACTGACCTCATATGAGGTCAAATTGCTTGTCGTCTAGACACTAGGATAAGGGGATTGGGAGCGAGATGCACTCACTTTGTCCAACTTGCACTCATTAGAGGCCAGCAAAGTAAGAATTGGAAAGGACCTCGTGGCTCGTTCGCTGACGCGTAAGCGCTCCGACAGCGAGGAAGGAACCGAAGAAGAAGACCGAGAGGCTAACGGAAAAGAAGAAGGCCAACTGAGCTCTCGAAAGAAGCGCCGACAGTCAGTAGAACGCGCCGGAGGCGCGTTCCAGGCGGATCCGAAAAGCTTTGGCATGGCATTGCGCGATGCCGACATGGCGCGTCTTGCAATAGATAAAGAGCGACTACTGCTGGAACGCCAGCGCGTTGAGATGGAACCAATGGACAGCGAGAAGGAGCGCGAGCTAGGAAGAGAAAAACGCATCGCGCAACACAAACTCGAACTTGAAAAGTTCAAGACGATGATGAGTGCCTTCACGCAGACTAATAAGTCGCTCTGCAGTACTTGTCACAAAAACAATAAATTCATCCCTTTTGCGACTTCTTTACTAGTAAAAGTGCCGTTTTTGAGCCTCCAAACGCGCTGGCGCTGCTCGCGCAGGGCTCCCTGCGGGGCTTCTCGCTTCGCGGCCTGCGGCACGCGAAATTTGTCCTCACTCCCCGTTGGCCTGCGCTTCACGCAGGCGAACGGGGAGTGAGGACATGTTGAGGACTTGGAAGAGTAGACACTTTATTGTTGTTTGTGGTCAAGGTAGTCTTTCAGCGTGGGAGGTGCGCAGAGGAAGTATTGGGAGATGGAGTACGGATACACGCAATTTCTGAGGTTTGTAAGCAGCATAGCAGCGATATATAGAGCTCCAACAGGCGACTCTCCCGTCTTCATCTTTCTCTTGTATTCCATAGGTGACCAGTTCAGCTTCACTTCCTTCAAATACCACTCCACTGTCACTCTTCCCTTAGACATAGCACCGTTGAATGTGCGTTGGTGAGCGCTTAGGTTGGAGCCTTGATACGGTACTTCTAGAAATGGGCGCGGGTTGTATCCAGAGTCCCCATACATGCAGTACTGCTTCCCTTCTACGAACACAACTTGCGATAAGGACTCATCCACTCCACTCCGGCAGTAGAGCTTCCAGTCATGCCTCCTTCTCTCAATTGGTCCAGCAGCATGTAGAACCAAGCCATCCGGTGATGTGATGGCTTGGTATTTTCATGCATGCTTGCGCTTGTGACCACTGTACGCTATGTTCTGCACCTCCCCTCTACTCGGCCGAGCAATTGCAATAACTGTACCATTAATGAAGCCTGTGCAGTTATCCAATGCTTCACATTTATTTTTGATCGCACATGCGTATAGCTCGGCCCTTTCACAAAAGAAGGTAGAATCTATGTCTGAGAGTATTAAATGTTGACAAGCTTCCGAGAAACTTTCCATTCCCTCCCAAAATATCTCTGACAGTTGCCCTTCATGCTTCCCGAAGAGCATCTCCATGTCGCGCCAGCGTGCAGGTGTGGTCAGACGTCGAAGTAAGACACATGTTACGAGAAGCGGGGAGCATACGTAGCGATTCCTGGTAGTAATGTCCCCTTCCCATGCAATTGCCGTCACCATTCGGATTATATCTTGCTTGCGGAATCTAAAAAGAGAGAGGCAACATGCATCTGTTAAAGCATTGAAGTTAAACGAAAAGGAAGAAAGAGAGATGCGGTTAGAACGTTCAGAGAAGCGGAAGAGCTCACTTTGCTCGGACATACAGCGTTTGATACAGTGCATCAAAACAACATTTGTTGAAGAAGGTGAAGGTAGATGACGTCGTGCCATCAATACACGCAAGGCTGCCCTCCATTTCATCGCCCTTGCTGTGGCAAGAGTCACGGAATGGTGGCCCTGACGTCCTCTTGCCATCACTTGGCGGGTGAATGCTATCGATGCTAGTACTCCTAAGCAGTTG